ATTTTTTAGCACACAGTTTAAAAAAGTTTCTCTTGAATTTGATTTCTATTGGCTCAGTTCACACAAATTGTGATCGAAGGATAAAGCATTTGCCGTTGATCAATCCCTTTTTGGGATGCGGCACGCATTCTACTTCCATTTGTACATTCGCAGTGGCGTTTGAATGCGATGTGGCCTATACAATGACTTGCGGGGGCCAGCCGATGTACAAGTCAGTGTTTTTTATCCTCCCAGACAAGTCTGGTACCAATTAACCGACCCCGGAGGGATGGAAGGCTTGGTTGGCCCGGGCGACTCACGACCCAGGATTTGATCCCCGGACCGCTCGCGTGGTAAGCGTGCCACTTGCCACTACACCACTTCCGCCCTAAAATTGTATACTAGATCTTTAAACTCAGCAGTACACAAAACAAATCAATAACCAAAATAAGCACAGTTCTTTAACAAAAATTGCACGAGATTTAGTTGAATCATTGTTTTCGATAGACGGTACTGCTTGTTTCGCAACTCCCAAAACGTCAGCGGGCATATATTTCGCCATCAATAGGTTAAGAGAAATGTCCAATATTAGAAATGAAAGCTTTATTCTCCCTTGATTTGGGATCCTTTGCGCCGGAAGTAGAGTGTAAATAGTTGAAAAAGTGCGCCAAAAAATACATCCGTTTTGTTATTGTAATAACGGTGTGCCCTGGTGATTCTCCCTGGCGGAGTCTTCGTTCTTCTCAGTGGTGTGAGAAGGGGCGTGGCCAACATCTTCGTACACAATTGAGCCGCTTAACGATTTCTGGCCTTTGGAGAGGTGCACTCTTAGGTCTTCCTCTCTAGGTGTGTCGCGTCTTACGTACAGGTAAAGTCGCACATTTGCTGAGTTGTTACTGAGCTCATTGAACTAAGTGTATAACTCGCACATAAAATTCCGTGGACTTCCAAAATCTTCCTGGAACCATTTTTTGTCTTTTTTTTTTGGTTTTTCTTGTAATTTCTGATGAGAAAGTCGTCCGGCTCGGTTCGTAGACGAGTTCCAAAACATATAAGGCTTATTCGAGAGCCACACGTAATAGCAGAAATCATCGGCGGATGTAAAACCCGACGACGAAATCGTTTTGTACTTTCCACTTCACCTTTCGCTGGTAGTCCATCGATTTGACAGAACACCTTGTGCCCTCCCATGTCGAGCACGTCATAGTTGCCCACGCATCAGCACCCTGCCCTCATCTGAATCATTCACGCGACGATTCATGAATGTCCTCTTTCGATTCATTCTTATCACGCACGTTTTCTCCCCATTGCTCGCTCTCTCAGCTTTTTCCGGAATTTTTTCTTTTTGAATCAAATCGAAAAGCCATTTATACGATTGCATGTCATCGTTGGGTACCTCATCAATAAAGTTTTGTCCCAATTTGCTCTCCACCTTAGGACGCAGAAACTGATTTTCGGCGCTCTGAGTGCACTTCTGTTTTTCCTGTCCTCGAGAATCCATAAGCCAGAGAATGGGAAAATATTTTTGCTTAACGGCGAGAAAAACGACCTTACTCTTTTGTTATCCATGCGGCAATAGGAAATGGTGAGAACAAGAGACCTCCAGCTGGCATTATGCATGGGAGACAGCAGCATCCTAGGGTTTCTCGTCCACAACGATGATGAAAAAGACGGCATTTTCTTCTGATTGAATGGCTATGAAAAATGGCCAGCCATATGGTGGATGAAGCAAAAACGCCGCCCGGAAACGAGAGCCGCTCGCTGAGGCTGACACGATGCCCCAGTTAGGTCCCACAACTCACCTCTCTCTCTAGCCCTATATGCTTTTCCTGATTTCTTTCACCCTGCTTGGAACTATTTCTGGATTTTTTTGACAAAAATTGTTGGCTAAACGGGATGCGGGTTATATCAGAACTATGGCCAAAACAGGAAAGCAAAGACGCAGTATTTTGGGGAAACCTTATAAACCCCGTAGAGATGGTTCTTCAAGCCTTTCAGGGCTGGCTGAAAGCCGAAAGAACAGCCCTGCTGACTCTCATGCCAACGGTTGAATAAGGTGAACATTGGACTGTATTAAGGCCCTCAAAATCGGCCTACTCTCTCCGTTCCTTGTGATCAGAAGGTGCTTTGAAGTCCTAGTCAACGGAGAGCTTCGCGCACGATACCCTTCCATATGATCCCATTGGCTTCTACAGTCCCTACCTCTAGTGGGCTCCCACTACCCACCTTAGAATCTTCTCCAAAGCTTTGTTGTTTTCCAGCGATTTAATCAGAGCTAAGCCTTCTTTTTCGAACATCCTTTGGCTTTCAAATAAGCTGTAAGGGTTTTACTGTATCGATCTCCTTGCTATAAATATTCAGATGATTGGCACGCAAGCCGTCTAAAGGAGCATTACCGTCAACCTGGAATATCTCTTTTCGTCCTTAGCAATTTTGCAGACACCACTTCTGATATTTCATATACTAATCCGGTGCCTACTCTGTATGGAAAAGTGACTTACTTCAGAACTATAGAGGGAAAATCACCCCAATTCATGCGGGCCAAAATACTACATTTTTGGGCCAGGAATGCTCCAACTGCGCTCGCGCTCGCGTCGCGGCAACCCGACACTTCAACCTTCGCGACGCGTCCACTGCTACTAGAACAGACTTCCACGTTTCAAAATGAAATGAATAAAAATTCTCAAAATCCATGTGGGAAAGCTCTGCTTGGAGTAATCTAATTGTATCAGGCCATTCTCATCCTCATTAGTTCATTCTAGAAGCACGGCCCAAATAATACCCCTTAGCAAAGTACCCTTGAACTATAAGCCGCCCGCCTTCTTGTTATACGAATCTCTTGTGCTAATCTGCGGCTGCTTTAGCTCTGTCGTCTTATATTGAGGTAATTTTGGTGGCCTTCAATCCTTCTAGCAAATTAGAATGGAACGCCTTTTTGTGTCATGTGAGCACTGCCCATCACCGCTTCGTCGAGTGTCGGATTTCGTTTACATTGATTCTAATCAACAATTTCATGCATGCTGTGTTCTTATTACAACTTGTTGATGCTGTTCTCCAAACCAGCCTTTTCTGCATCCACTCGTCTTTCGTTGGATAGCATTCCACGGGCTTAACAGTATGAACCACCGTTTCTACGAGAAGGGGGAGGGGTGGGGGCGCTTTCGCAGCTATGCGGACACTTTGCCCAGGTTTAGCTGATAGCTTCTGGAAGAAAGGTTGAAACTCACGGAGCCTCCGAGCGTTGGGAGTTCTCATCCTTATCATGCTATTAATTTTTGAAGCTTAAAGTCACACTATTGATTGTGTCAATTTTGTAGAATCCTAGCAGCAGTGGGGTCTGTAGTTGACTTATTTTATGGTGGCCCTGGTAAAAAATCAAGTGGAAACCCTTGGAAACGTTAGGTTCATCGAAGGCAGCGATTACGATAGTTCAAGAAGGGTTCAGAGAGACGTGGTGGTGCTCAATGGTACGCCCTTGGCGAAAAAGCGTAGGATTCCGTCAAGAGAACAAAACGGGACCCCTTATTCGGCCATTAGTTTTCACTCATGAACAGGTAACAGCTCAGAAAGCGGACGTATGAACGAGTTCAGCGCAACGCGTTTGCGACCATGCTGAATCGAGATGCTCCAGTTGTGCCGCTGCTGGCAACGCAGCTCGTCCAAATCACCAACTAAACTAGTGGGCGGATCGCTTTTGGGGGCGGAGTGCTTTCGAAGTCCTGCTCAGCAACCAGCGCACCTTTCGTCGTGGAAGCGTCCTCCCTGTAGACTGATTCCTGTGGTGCACATGCTTCCCCGATGCGCTCCCTCTTTATCATGATCGCTGCCTTCAAGCGCATGCAGTTGTCTTTTTCTTGTTTCCATATCGAACATTTTTCCACAAAAACTCAGTAATATGATCGCTGAAATTGGCAGTTTACTGTGATACAAGTGAATAGGAACTGAAGAGATTACGAGTGAGATTTCGAAGGAGTGCTCTTGGTGTTAGAAGCATAGAAGTTCAGCCACTTCCAGGATCTTCATAGCATTTTGCGATCGCAACATGTGGTTATTTCAATTGAAAATGAACGCAAAGGTGTGAAGTGAGCCGTAAGTGAAGAAAAACGAAAAGTATCTGAATGAAGCATCTTTTTGTGAAAGAGCCGTGTTGCTGCGTAGAGAGACTGGTCTTCGAGAGGAAAGAACAGGCGGGAGCATGGCGATGGGCGAGATGCAGACAAGGTTGTGTTGCACATTAGCCGGAGCGGTCGGCGCGAGTGAGAACGGCAAGGGCTTGACATTTTGAATCGCCAAAATCGCCCATATCTTACATTTGTGGATGGGAGTATCATATCTACGAGAGAAAGTGGTCGACTTAGTATGCATAGTCGCGGGATTCGCCTGTAAACAAAGGTGCCCATTGATTTCGGTGAATGTTCTGAAGGATTGAGGGTACCCTCCCAGGAGGCCCGTCGCGCGGCAAAAGGCATAGTCGTCGGACGAGTTGCAGCGCGTGATGTGCGATGTAGGACGTGCAATGGGACACTCTTTTGACTTGACGCAAAATCCCTATGGTGCGCGCGTGACTCGTCCGCTGACTACGGTCGGGTCTACCCAAGGATTGACTTCTAAAATTGTCGCACCATAATACGAAACGAAAACGTTACGGTTCCTTCTGGGGCTGAACTTTCACTGGTGCGAATAAAACCTTACTGCTAGCCAGAAAACTTGAATATTTCCTAGTAGATCACCTGAAAAGACAATTTTTCCACTATTCGCTTGCCCAAGGAATTGCTACATGTGTGGTTGAGGAAAGCAAAGTGCTAAGTTCTAAAAATATGACAACTTTGACTGTGTCCAGATTTCTGCCATCCCAAAAATTTTCCTCATAATCACTTGTTACTTATGGATCACTCTGTCCTCTCTTTCTCATTGAAAACCCACCTGAGGGTTTCCCATAACTCTCAAAATCCTTCCACGAGCCCGCCTTCTGCTCTCTTAGTCAGCTCAATACCTCGTGATTGAGCCTTCTTTCAGGAACGATGCGGGAATATAAGATTGTCGTGCTGGGGAGCGGTGGTGTGGGCAAATCCGCTCTGGTCAGACTTTTTACCTTGTGTCTGCGATATTTTGATTGCTCAGAAATATGCTTTCTAGACAGTCCAATTCGTTCAAGGGATTTTTGTGGAGAAATACGATCCCACGATTGAGGACAGCTATAGGAAGGTTAGTTGTTTGTTTACCGACATTGCGAAGAGAAACCAAGTCCAGCAATTTCAGCAAGTGGAAGTAGACGGTCAGCAGTGTATGCTGGAAATCCTCGACACAGCCGGCACGGTAGGCTACCCCTTCGCCCGCATTTCCCCTCAGGCATCGATCGAATTCTTAGGTTTTCAGGAACAATTCACGGCAATGCGCGATCTCTACATGAAAAATGGCCAGGGTTTTGTCTTGGTCTACTCGATCACCGCTCAGTCCACTTTCAATGATCTCATCGACCTTCGCGATCAGATCCTTCGAGTGAAGGACAGTGAAGAGGTGCCTTACTGGAACCTTAGCATTAGATGAATTTGTCCACCAATTCATTAGCTTCAAATTACCCTTGTAAATCGCTCCAGGTGCCAATGATTCTGGTCGGAAACAAGTGCGACCTCGAAGATGAGCGTGTGGTCGGCAAGGATCAGGGACAAAACCTCGCCCGACAGTTCGGTTCAGCCTATCTTGAAACCTCTGCTAAAGCGAAGATCAATGTGAACGAGGTAATTCTTGAATTCTTTTTGTTGTACTGTCCAGGGTTGAAGGTAGGGCTCGAAACCACAGGTGAGAGTACTTTCAAAGAGCCGTTGAACGCTCGTTTTGTGGGATTGTTTTCGTTTCTCTGCTGGCTTTACCATTATACGGAAGGAACTTTGAACCGTGATCTTAATGAGAGTCAAAAGAAATAACCTAAATAAGTCAGCCATCGGTCTTGCCCATCCTGTTCAAATGTAGAAGCACTTAGGTTCGTGTTCGATCCAAACACTGGCTTACCAGTCCAGTCGAAATTTAAATCAGTGTTCATGTCGTTCCGGCCTAAACCACCCAAGCGATTCCGTGAGAAGATGGACAGCTTGATGAAGAAGTTTCATCCACGGGCTGTGCCTCTTGCTTTCGTCAACTCCGTCGCCTCATTAATGTTCAGAAGATGACTACATGCTATACTGACGTTATAACCGATCAAGGCTGACCGCAAACAAAGCCCTCTCTAAGTAAATGTTGGTGTTACGGGCGAAACGTTTTGCTCCTCTGGGACAAAGGTGATCTGCCCCCAAAGAGTCCCCAACAAGAGTTGCATTTACCGAAGGGGTCATACTAGAGGTTGTACATGGGTGAAAGTGGAAATAGTGGAACTATAGGCTGAAAGAAAAGTGGAATAAGCTGTTTTAGCAGTTAACGCTCGTATGTACACTCTCCCTCACCTGATTTTCCCCCTCCCCTCCCTTCTACGCCCTCTCGGTCCATTATTGGAGTAATGTGGGC